CAAGTTCGTTTTGTGGCCACAGATGCTCCTAGCCGGCGGCTCTTTTGCACCTTGAAGGAGATTCTGCCGAATTTGGAAACGTTGCTGTTGGACCCTATCCACTTGGCCATGCGCTACGTCGTGTCATCATCTGCCCGAAAGAGAACTGCAGGCTCGGCCACTTTGCGCCGTTGCCTGGCAAAGTTCTTGAGTGGAAGTGCGCTGCTCCAGAATGAGAGTTTTAACTGGAGAATGCAGTCCGGCAGTCAGTGCCTATGAGCAAACTCTGCAGCAGCAAATCTTGGATGGCTCGATGCCACAAGCCAAAGCAAAACAGCTTTGAAAGGTTAGCTGCTATGAGCGCCATTTACCGAACAGAAGTGATGAAAGAACTGAAGAGGGGAAGGCGTTCAGTGTATCATCTCTTATGGGAAGCTGCGCAGCCAGATCGTTTGGGGTGGCTCTTCAACAAGCACGAATGTCTGCGACTGAACAGATGCTTTTACCGACAGGAACCACTAGCAACGAAAGCTTGCGTGCTGAGATAAATGGATGGTTCCGGCAGACGCAGCGCTTGCGCAAGAGCACCCTTCAGCTGAAATTAGACATCCTTGTGCTCGCAACGCTGGTGTGCCATAATTCAGCCTTATATTCGCCCACTGCCCGGCAGACGTTGCCAAATCAACTTCCCGCAAGGCGCATTGGGAATGGCCTTTGGAGTGGCAGGGCGTGGCTGGATTTGGTGCAGGACACTTGCATGGCAAGCCACAAGCGAAAGGTGTAACTCGGGCAGGCGTACAAAACAGGTCAATGCGCCTGAGTACAGATTGATCATGTGCACGGGCCGATATGAAAATTGACTAAGTTTACAGCTTACAGACTTCACCTTGGGCAAGAGGAAGCATTACTCCAAAATGTGCGACTCCTCATTGCGCTAGGCAATGAAGACTTCGAAAGATTTGCGTGATGAGCGCTCTTTCTCATCTCATCTCCTTCAGTGCCTTGGAAATCAAGACGTTCAAGTGCCGTAAGTGCTGCCCAAAGTTGTAGATGAACATATGTATATTCCGCATGTGTAGATTCATGCCAGCGGTTCCTTTTGTGGGATGAAGCACGCCGTGTGTCGGCAGAGCACTTACCTGGGTCTGAGTATGTTTGGGATACAGGCTCCTCATGCCTGTGGGTGTTGGGCACAGGTGGACCAAAATCCGAGCGGTATGGACCCGTTCTTGCTGATGAACGTAGCAACAGTTTAAGTTGCGAATGTGATGGGTAGTGTAATGGTCTGGGCTCACATGTGCTCGCATGTGCGCGCGCAACACACCATACTCACACACTATCCTTCAAGATATAAAGGAATCTAGTCTTCACTTGATTCGAGAATTTGCAACAACTGAAGTTAATTTAAGCACACTTTCTAAATTCATATGACCCAATAAAAAGTACCATATAACATTATGTTTCACTACTTGCTCGCGCGCCGAGGAACGATTGGTGCTGGGCACATGTGGATCCGATGATGAGCGACAAAAACCAATAGGGGATTAACGGCAGGGCGTGGAGTGGTGAAGCGCAAAAGTTATGTGTTTCTTTTAGGGTATCATTGTGTTGATTGATTGTTTCTCTTGCTTGAAAAAGCTGAGAATATCGTTCCAGGGCGCGAATCGCATTATACCAATTATTCTCTGCCACGGGGTCTTCCTTCAATGCTTGGTGCAAATGCCAGTCAGAAGGCATATCCCCACGCCAAGCTGGTTCTCCTCGACTCCTCGATTCTCCCGTTGTTCTTTGGACGGTGGTGACTTCTTCTCTGAGGCTGAGGCTGCTTCCGCCTTTTATCAAGATTCAGGAGAGGTCGAAGGAGGCTTAAGTGACGCTTCGGAAGGACAAACCGGAATTCCAGCAGCTCCCGCCGAGCAAACAGCGAACGAAAGGTGGAGACCTGTCAACCTGTGCCCCGCAAAAGGAACTGCCCTTCTCATTCCTCGACGAGGAGGGAGCCACAGCTCCGCTACCAATGTTGACAATACTGGGGACCGACGCCCCAAAACGAACCTCGACAGGACTAGTGCCTTTCATACACAACTGCACTGTACGGCCCACCCGATCCTCCCTTCAAGATCGAGAAGCGACAGTACATGACCAAGGGTGTCACTTTCAACATACCATACCATACTATACTATGCGATACGATACTTTACTATACTATACAATACGATACGACACTATACGTTACTTTACTATACTATACTATACGCGATCTTTTTTACTCTACGTTAGCGATATTGTTTACTGAAGCAAGACCCCAGCGAAAGTTATACTTGACTTTGCATACAAGCAGTTCCCGGGCAAGCCGGCGGCGGAAGTTTCCTATAAGAACACATTGACCTATAGGGGTGCCCACGTTCTCTCCACCATACGTGTCCCTCGTGTCCCTCACTCAGCCAAACGCATGCGCTCCAGACTTTTGACACACACACACACACAGCGCCACCTGTGCAAGGTCTGTGCTCCCTGCAGGATCAGCAGCTCACAACAGCGTACTGGGTTGTGTCTATGCCAAAGCAAGATCACCAGCCCACACCGGCGTGCTGAAGCAACTGGGCATCTGCAAGCGAAAGTTAAGTACAGCTGGTGCGGGCACCCGAAGTGGGTGGTGTTTTCAAAGTCAAAATCATGTCTTCATCGTCCAGCTTGCCAAATACTCCGCGTACTTTAAAGTTGTACTACAAAGTCGCCAGTTCTCAGCTTCCAGCTCCACGGATTGCTCCGCGTACTAAAGTTGTACTACAAAGTCGCCAGTTCTCATTTTCCAGCTCCCCAGATACTCAGCAGCGAGAGATGACTCAGCAGCGAGAGATGACTCAGCAGCGAGAGATGACT